CCATACCTCCAAGAAAATAAGTACCTACTATAGACTTGAAAGCTTTCCAAGAAGTAGTTGATTATCTGATAGAAAACTGGGACCCTATTCATACCCACTATTACCTAAGAAAAAGCTTCACCTTTACTGGCAGTAGCTCAGAAAGACTTTTACTTTGTATAGCGCTCATCCTACTCAGAGCCATCAGGTGGAGAAAGCTGTGACAGACCGCATAGAATTGCAGGAGCTATTCTTGCAGCAAGGTGAAATACAAACTATCTTAAATTCTACATGGCAAACAGCAATCATCCTGATCTTCCCCTCAGAACTAATATTGGTGCCCCTATTTTGTAACAGCATAGCTGTGTGTTCTGCTCAGCTGTTAACAATAGCTTTGTATGCAAGTGTTGCAAGCCCTTATGGCTTTTTGATATGCCTATGTAGCTGCTTTTCTTTCCATTTCCCCTACTATGTGCCAGGTTACAGAAACACTTCCAAGCAGCAGATTCAGAAATAGAAAGAGTTCAAGGCCAGGTTTCACACCTGCAACCTTGCAGCTCTAAGCTGTTCCAGCCCTGAAGAGCAGTCTCCTCATTATAAATCCAAGGCTTCCTCCGACCTCCACAGTTTATGTTCAACAATTCCAAATGAAGTTTATGGGTTTTTACTTATTTGTTTGAGGCAGGAAGGGATGGGAGGCAAACGGAGAGGGAATACTGCATGGAAGCTATGTAACCATTACATGTATCACATTTTATTTTGATGAAGTAATTTAATTGAATACCACAGTTGTTCATGAAAATTAACTTATCACCCAATTTAAGACACTGTCTCACTCCAATTCCAACAAAAAAATCCAAAAGAGTTACTCCTATTCAACACTAACATATCATTCATATTTAGGCTTCCCTAAATACTTCAGAAAGTAATACAGGTTAGCACAAAGTTTTAAAGGGTTAAGTAGTAGGTTTAGTTTTTATTTCTTTTAGAATTCTACACAAGAATCTGTTTTCTAAAGCACTATAAATGTAATAGTTCACAGCAGCAGCAGAGAGCTATTGCAAACACCCCATATGCCTCCTGAGTTCCACAGTGGGGTGACAGGAGACAAATGCCTTCAAAACAAAACAAAGCAGCCCCCTCCATGATACTAGTGTGCTATGTCCACATATGTGCCAATAAGAAATTTTGACACCCAGAGTGTATTCAGACAGAATAAGGCATCAGCAAGCACTGTGGCTTAAGAAGTATATTTTGGTTTGTTTTATAAAAGAAGTTGTTCTGTAGTTGGACAAATCGCCACACAAGACCCATTTCTTGACCCCAGGTGTAATTTGTGCAATTCACGCTGACTCTGTTCATCTTGGATGGACTGCATTATACTGCCTACCTGACACAGGACTGTTCTTGCCATGTTGCTCTAGTAGCCCTGCAAAATAGTTTAATAACCTCTATGTCTCTGGCACAGAAAAAGGTTAAACAAAACAAAAACCTGTTTATTTTGCTACAAGACAAGAAAAGCATGTAAAAATTAAAATAAAATTGGGAAGGAACGAAACTGTAACTCTGCATAGCCCTCTAAAAGAAATATAAATAGAGCTCTCTTCTAATATATACTGTCGGTCTAAATGGAAAATAAAGACTCAATGACATTTTTAGAAGAACAGAATAAACAACTCCCTGTTCTAGCTAACAGTCTCTCTCTCTCTGCATAAAGAGATAGAGATAGAATGTAAAGTCATTTGTACATAGCTGAGACTATAAGCCACAGGAGTTTCTGCATTACCATTTAATTCACTCAAATTCATTCAAATAATAGAAGGAGGAGAAATGAAAAAAGTTATTTCCAGAAAAAAAAAAAAAAAAAAAAAAGACACAACCAAATCCCATGTCTTCATTTTTGAAGGCAAGAAAACTCTGGAAACAATCCTAATGCAAACCTCGGACAAATCTGCATCTTGCTGAAAGAAGAACTTCAGGTTTAGGCCGTGTATGAAAGCAGCTCAGAGTTCCCCATTAAGTCTAATTTTACTTGAGACACTGAGACGTCGAAAACTTCAGAGTGAAAATTTAGTAACTGACTTACCACAGAGGAAAAAGGTTGAAAGAAAAACAGACAGTATTGTCTGTGACTGAAGTTTGTCTTTCAGGAAATGAAGATCCCTACGGTAGTAAATATAATACTTGAATTATTTGCAAATAGGTTTAATCATCTAGTTGCCATGTACAAGCAAAATCTATGCGCTATCAGAACTCAGCACAGCTAATTACTAGAAGGCAAAATAAAGATTTCTATCAAGCATAGTGTGTGTTCTTCAGCTATTATATCTATCAATATTTATGTCACAGCTCTTTCTGGGTGGTTGCTGCATAGATTTTGTGTGCAGTCAAGAAGCTTCCTGACTGCAAACGTGCTTTTAAAAAGAAAAACTGGCCCAAACCCTGCATTTTCAATTCAAACAGTGGATTCTGAACCCTGTTAACTCCCTGGAGCAGCTGATAGTTAAAGACTTGTTTCCGCTTTTCTAACAATTTCCTGGTTTGTATAACAACCCTGAAAGAAACACACTCAAGAAGTTTTCCAGCACAGAGAGATTTTTGCCTCCAACATACTTCTAGTTTCAAGGCATAGAAAATATTTATATATAATTACAATAGCTTTGGAGATACATTTGTCTACAAATATATTTACATATAAATATGTATCAGCTACTTGGTTTAAAACAAGATTATGATAATTTTGCCATATCCAGGAAATACAAAACACTGGCTTATGCCTGGTGCTTAACTCACACCATTGTGAATAAAAAGGGGGGAGGGAAGGGGTTTAATGTTTAATTTCCTGTTAAAAACACACACAGGATAAAATCTTCCAAAGAGCAGTTATAAAACATGCATTTGTTAGCCAAGAAACTAGGTAAATATGGAACAAAGCCCAGGCTCACTTTTATTCCTCCCCCTCCCTCTCCAAAGAACAAAGTAACTGAAGGCCACAATGTGTATTTGGAGGCACTGAGCTCTACTGAGTGACTAGATAACTAATCAGTCTGGCTGATTTATGGATCCTGTATCCACTGGGGTAGTTCCTCAGGTAATGCAATGATGCAGTTGGGCACAAGGTACTGTAGTGCCATGTATACAGCACACATGCCAACCAACCATTGTACCAACTACCTTCCTGATGCAACTATCTGGCTAAATACAAATAAAAAAAGTATCACCATGTAGTCGGGACCTACCAACAGCCAGTCCCTAGCAACAACAGACTGAGAATACCACTACCTTCTGTAGAGGCTGGAGATACTACAGAGGCTATTTTTTTAGAAGTTACACATGGAAATCTTATTTTCAGATTCCACTGAAACTCAGTACCACCCATCCTGGAACTGTGACTTCACCTGCAGCATTGCAGCCTTCATCACAGTTCTACCAAATATAATGATGTATTACATTGTTCTGCAATTCACTACACTAGAACTCCCAGGCAAGTACCAAATTTCTGTATGATGCATAACAATTACAGTCTTTAAAAATCCCAGTTCTTCTCTTTGTTGAGATGCCCAAATTAGACAAAAAATATGGACTGTATTTATGAGAAATTGAATATTTATAACAGTTTTCAACAGTAACACTGTATTTTTGGACCTTACAACAAAAATAATCCATCAAATACTTTGTCTACTGTGTTAGGGTCAAAGCCATGTCCTCTGCACACCTTGCAGCATAGAACTGGAGAAATCGTGGTACTTCTTGCAACCTGCTGGGATTCACATTCAAAATTAAATGTAAACAACTCTGAGTAGCTTCAATTTTATTTTGTTTTTCAAATGAGGATAAACTTATTATTGCATATATAGCTCAAGAGCTTTCTTAGTTTTTGGTGGCATATTATTCAAATTAACACAGCTTAAACTTTTTAAAGCAGATGCACCTTAAACACCTTCTGGTCATCGCATTCAGTTTTCATATTCGATGCAAGAAAAGAAAGGCACAGAGATTACATATCTCTCTGGTGAATTAAACCTTATGGCAGGCATGCTGAATTTCTTGCAGACTCTTTGTAAAACTGGCTTTGAGACAATAAACAGTCCTGAGTTTATTTCTAAAACCTGCACTTAAGAGCTGTTCTAGGTATTTGTGCTCTTTCCTCAAGAAATCAACCACTGCTGGCCACTGATTTAACGACAGTTCACCGCTGAAACTCATACTACTGCACGAGTTCAAAATATTCCTGTTTATTTTCACTTTCTGATAACTGGACTTTGTGCCGTGATCTTATGATTCTTCATGTGAAAAGACAATTGACTAACAACACTAGAAGAGAGAAAGGGAATAGGGTGGAGAAAATCTGTAACACAAAATGAGCCTTGACTTGCCTTCACAGTACTGTACGTACCCCCAAGCAATGAAATTTCAGGAAAATTATTATGCTTCTGGCCAACAATCAGTATATATAAGATGTTATACACACTTTGCCTCACTGTATGTTGTTACTACAGACTCCATGCAAAAGCAAGTTTGCTTCTCAACAGTAAGGCAAATTCACAAGTATTTACTGCTAGTTACATCGAGGTATTAAAGATTCAAGTGAAGGAGTAGTATTCTCCAGTGCAGTGGTGACCTGAGCCTTTAATCCAGATGAATTTAACTGTAGAGTGCATTAGCTCTTCCCATAAAAGATTTGCTTTAATTTTAGTTCTCTCTCTCCATTTACGTTATGGTCGTGTAATCTTCAGTAGAGGTCAAAGAGATTTCCCCAAAGAAACAGAAGCTGATTCTTTTTTAGAGGGGAGAAGCACATTTTAGACAGTTTGACCTACTTTTAAACATATAACACAGGACAGTACTCTCTATACTCTCCTTTCTCTGTACTCTCCTTGCTTCTTTACCTGTTCCAAAGCAATTAAACAAGCATACATGTGCATGCACACGCATATACAAATGAAACACGAAAACACCTACTGAAGATAGGATACACAACCCCTCTGCTGCAAAGATTGAAATTATTACTAACATCTTACCATCATCCAGCTCAAGACAGAGATTGTACACAGCCAAAGGCCTCTTAATACGCTGTCCTTGTCTTCTTGATTGCCTTGGTGGGGCATTTGGAGGAGATACTGACATAGAGATCGTCTCAGGGAAAGTAGCATCAGGCAGAGTTTTGAAAATCTGTAATCAAGAATACAAAGGGCGTTAATTATTTATCACAAAGAGCAACCTGTGTAATGCAACAGTAAACCATTATCAAACAATATTTGTTTTGGATTTCATTGAAAGCAGGCAGGAGCCAAAAATCCATTCCTTTAAGTTTGGGAGTATGCCATGGGCCTTAAATGAGTGCTTTTAAAATAAATAAATAAGTAAATAAATAAAATATAATACGAAAATAACAAGAGCACTGTCTACACATTAACCAAGCTGCAAATCAGTTAATCCAAAGACAAAATAATGCCGCCATGCTTGCCAGCTAGGATGGAGGGGAGTGGAAAAAGTGGGATACTAACTTTATGAACCAGTAACAAAAAAAAAACAAAACCAAAAACATAAAAACCCAAACCCAAACCAAACCACCCTTCCTATTGAAAAGAGCAAGGGGAAAATTTTGAGGGGAGAGGTTTTTAGTGAGAGATACCATAGTAGAATACCATGTCAGAAACGCGAGCATTTTTTCAGTTAACTATTGCATATTGAGTCACATTTATATTAAATTATGATATTCACATAGCCATATGAAAAGGATTGCATTTCTTGTCATTGTTTTATCTCTTGAATCATGACCATTAGCATATCACCACTCCATACAAAATACCATGTGATTTCTGTCTGGATTAACCAGCAATGCTCAAGCTGATAGCATTTCTACTTTAACTGTCACATACAGGGTACAGTCTAATAATGTTGATTTACTTCTAGAAGATTATCAGCATGCTGATGTACAATTTAACAGCAGCCTTTTACAAGTGATCATGGCAGATTCACATGAGCAAATTAGCTTAATATGTATTTCATCCAACACAAACCAGCAGCTAAGAAAAGCACAAACAGCAGCTGTACAAGAAAAGCCCCGTGTCTGCAGAGCACCTCACAGCAACGCAACACAGCGATATAACAAGATATAATGAAACAGTATATGGTGTTCTTTTACTCTGCAACTTTACATTGCCATATATCCATATAGGAAATATTATACAGAGGAAACTCGTAATACGTCTTTGAAGGAGAAGCTTTTTATGAAGTAGAAATTCATGCAGAAAGTATAACGACACGCCACAGATAACACATTTTTGGATTATTACAGCACATGTCAGGTGTTACAGCATGAAGCTAAAAGGCAGCCAGGCTACCCTACAGGTAAGAAAAATGCAATAACCATCCTGCGGTAAGGCAATCAAGACATCATGTCAAAAATATAAGAAAATTTACAAGCCATCATATCCTGGCCTAATAACCCTGAATATTAACAAGTGTAGGAATAAGATGACCCAAGAACCCACGTATACGCTGGCTTATAGCTGCTTAATCATCACTCTCATGCTGGCAGGTAGAAGACTGTGCTGGTATAAAAATAACCAGAAACACCATTTTCCATGAAAACTGGGGAAGAATGATCACATTGTCAAAACTGGGCAGCAGTGGGCCAGAAGCTTATATATGTCTATATATCTATCTTACTTCCCAATAAATGAATGCTGCTGTGGGGGAGGTAATTTGAACTTCCCCATAACAGCGTTAAGAAAACTGTCTCCCACTCCTTCACGTGCCTGCGAACAAGGGATTACAAGAGAGAGCCAAAACAGCACAAGGACCTCTCTAAAAACAAAATGTTTGTAAAGAAGAAAGGAAACGGTTCAACCTGGTTCTCCCCAGTACAGACACGCCAGCACCCTCAGTGACAAAGCTCTAATTGTGCTCAGAGTGCTAAAGCCATTTCTTAAAACATGATGCAATATATAATAATGAAATATAATGTGCACCTACATGGCACTTGGCTAACAGTACCACACTGCCCCCTTATGCGTAAATACACGGCTAGACTGAACAATTTTAGGGATAAATATTTGCTTCTGAAAAATTCAAAAGTACCAAAACTTTAAATGCCATCTTTTCCACGGACTAAGTGTTGTATTTGGGCTCTCTGGTAAATAACTCTCTGCCAAGAGGTTTCAACATGTTGTTTACTATGTTGCATTCTGCATCTGTGTTTATTTGTACAGCCTTATCCACGCATCTCTGTTGAAATTCACGATGGTGAGAGGAACAAGTATTCCCCAGGAGTACTTTGTAAGAGGTGAGCTCTCTTGTATGCATTTAGGTGACTTGCACAGGCTGCAGTAAAATTCTTGAGCATTTTTTCCTCATCCCTCATTTCAATATACTCTTCTAAAACTATTAGCATGAGAAACTGAGAGTCACAAAAGCAAAACACAATGAACAAAACCATAAAGGCAATCCTTACTCAATGACACTCAGTGCCAGACAGGCAACAGGTTAATGAATTGGAAACAGGTATGAATCCAAGTAGACTTCTAATTGCTCGTAGCTATGCGATGTGAAAAAAGGGGTTGGTGATTTGTTCTGGTTTATGTGGGGAAATCCCCTATAAAATAAACAGGATAAAGAACAAGAAAGCAGTGAAGTCACGCTTCAAACAGTAGCAGTCCAGCACATGCTAGCTAACTTCATGGTAATGTCAGCGGCAGGTACTCATGAGCTCCCCCAGATAGTTCTCCCTCCCCTAATAAAACAGCAGTTAGTAGTACTGAGTCCTCTCTGTCACTCTCTGGATAAGCACATCACCTCTACTTTTAATTTTTTTCAGTGGCAAAACTGTGCACTAGTGTTTCACAACAGTGCTGCTCAGCGCAACCCAGTGCTACCCAGTCACGGTGCTGGGCTGATGGCAGGCAGTCTAAGCAGCCTTCTGCAGACAAGATACTCAGGCAGGCATCAGGCCCGTTCCCTATTTTATCTCACTCTGCTCTCAACTTCTTGTTATAACAGATTGGTATGGAAGTTTCATTTCTGGGATAAGGTCAGTAAGAAGTATATTGCTTTCTAGGGAGCAGAGATCACCTCCCGAGAGCATCTGGGTAGCACGAGGCCACCTGTTCTCCACACTCACTGCGACCACGGAAAGGGTCCACACAAACTCCCTCCTCTACTTCTACGTGTCTCTAACACAATGTTACAAGCTGTAGCACATATTTCCTTGTGCTCGCGTTTAGTGTCTGTCATCACAGAGAATAAAGGGATTCCCAAAAGAATTATTTAGATATGAACTAGAGAACGCAACCTCTTAACTACCTGCAGAGCAAATTGAGACCAGTTGTCACGCTCAGCAATGAAATTACCAAGTATCACGAGTTGCCCTGCAGGATTCTGACACACAAAACCAACGAACCGACCAAACAAAACAATCCCCAAAAAACACACACAACCACCACTAGAAAGATCACTAAGTATTTTTTTGTAAAAAAGAAACAGGAAACATCCTGCCCTCATGTGTTGCATGAAAAAGTGTATTTGGGGTCATTTTCGCTCTTTCAAGTAGCTCATATTTGTGTTCATCCCTACTTTGGTATTTTCTTTTTGTCTTTTGAGCAGGAACATAAAATCCAGTACAGGCCATCCATAACTAGACCTGATTTTTCAGCAGCAGAAATCTCCTTCTGTTGCAGGCCAAAGCTACAGCTCATACCACAGTTTTGCAAAGGTGAGCATCTGAAAAGAAAGCAGAAGGTCAGCCTCTGCTCTAAGACGTGTACATGCAAAATTCAGCTTCTCTTCCTTTTCTTTATGTTCACTTAAATACACAAGTACTTTTCATCATGCCTTAATGGATAGTTGTCTGCTGCACTGGCAGAAGGATTGTAACATCCACCCGAGAATGGGGGGACAGAGGCATGCTTTATTTCAGTTGTGGGGAGTAAAGGGTTTTGGCTTTCATTTTATTCAAATTTTCTCCTAGCCTTATTAATTATTTAAATGCCAATGAAGTATAAATATTTCACAGCTAATAAAAGATGCCTGCTGTGAGTAACCTGTTGTCAGAAGCACACTACATACGCACAGAAGACGGAACTCAAAATCATACACTTGCAATGTACTATGTGAGCACTTTGAATGCTACGAACATTCCCATGCTTTGACTGACCTGCACAACAGTACAGGACCACAACTGACTATGTTTCAGAATATCTTCTAGCACTGCAAGCTATTACTATCACATGCATTGGGAGGCAACCACACGTATCCAATCAGATGGAAACCCTCCCACAGGAGAATGGGATTGAAACATGCTATTTAATTATTATTTCTTTGCTACTCCAAAAAAAGCCTCCCTTCAAGTAAAAGTCAGATCTACCACCATCACTTGTCTTGACTGCAGAAGTTACCACAGCTTAGACTAATGCCTGTATAAAGACAAGAATGAAGTCTGCTCATTGAATTACCTCATCCAAGAAGCAATAAAAATGTATTAAATCATCCTCAAAGGTTAAGGACTTCACAGGCATATCCAGTGTTACACAGCTTTCAAGACTGTGGCCTAACTGCAATAGATTTATAGAATATTAGTTCCCTACAATTTAGTTCTCAAAAGCATTGGCATCCTGCTATTGCCTTACTTAGGGGCAATCTCGGAGCCAAGTGATGCAATTTACATACGGGAGAAGACTAACACATGTAGCACTGAAAACTTTATCAAGCAACAAATCTGACTGTTAAGTCAGTCCTGTCCTACTTAGTCCTGTATTTTAAATGGTTGTTTCGGTCTGACCTTACACGAAAGCAGAATTTAAAGGTGCACTTAAGCGGTGGATCAGTCTTCAATCCTGCAATGTAAAAGTTACAATAAAAAAGATGATACTCTTGTCAAGCTATTTCAAACACTGGCACATTTGACCTATTTCTCTCTATGCAATATTACAAAATGGATACTTCACGGGGCTAAAGAAACCACAAACCATCTTGGATACACACCGCTAATAACAGCTCTGTCCAGAGCAGTGAGCCCAAGACCATCCCTATGTACAACCATTCCAATTCCTAAAACTGTGTCCTACAAAGTCTATGGAAGCATTTCTTGAGAGTAATGAGCAAAATTCAGCATATTATCATGCTGTATTCTACCAGCAGATCCACATGGCAGCAGCCCAAGGAATTTTGCC